GCAGTTCAGAATATTGGATCCCGGGGTGTGCGATACGCTTACCTCCACGTGGTGCACCCTGGGAAACGTATACTCATTCGGCTACCTCCACGTGGTGCACCCTGGGCAATGTATACTCATACACCTCCACGTGGTGCACCCTGGGAAACGTATACTCATACGACAAAAATGTCTGTTAACCGGCAGTTAACTTCTGACTTCAAACTACTATGACTCCTCTGTATGTCATATTCGACTACTTTCACAATACTCATCTTATCATTTTCTCTATCTTTATGTCTGTCTCTTTTGTATCTTTAAATCTCTCTTCTGTTCCCCCCCTCTCGAATTTTTTCAACTTTTATGTTCCTCCCTCCCCCCCCCCCGTGAAGCCCGAAGTCAACTAAAAGGCTAATAGCAAGTATCAAAACGCCTGCCATTTGATATAACTATAATATTGGAATCCAAAGTGTGCTGAATAATCGAATGTGGTTATTTTGGAGAATAATGTAGAGGTGAGAGGGGTAGGAGATGAGATGAGATCGACGCGTTAGTGCAGAGAAGCGCTAAGCTACTAGCGCTACAAGTTCATCATTAATCATGTTGTATTTAGGTATCTAACGATTGCGTATATATGTACTCACATTTATTTGAGTTCAGTAGGGAACTGAATCATATTGAGAGGAGTTTTTTGATGAGTAATTTCTTTTAATTTCAAGTGGATAAGCTTTGTGAAGTTAATTAAAGCAGAAAAACTAAACCAAGGAAAATTATTTTGCATTAGTATTTGACTTTGTTTATTTGGTACTTCGAAAAATAAAAGAAAATTTAAAAGTAGCTGATAAGATAAGCATGTTATATTCAAGGTATTAACAAAGTGCACAATAGAAGAACCTGATTTTAAGATTGGAAAAGACTATGCATGTTGGAAAACTAGAAGCGCGTTAAAACATCTTTCGGTTTCGACCAAACCTCAGCTATCTCTACGGCACAATCTCCTAGTATGCTAATGTTCCCGAAATTAGCTAAGCTACCCCCCCCCCCCCCCCCCCAACAATAACAGGAGAAACAGGGCGTACGGTGTGGATAGCGTGTCACTGCTACCATGCTTAGTCATTCAAATACAATTAAGAGTACGCTGACAACGCGGCGACTGCTGATTTCTGGCTGACTGAGGCGTCTTTGCATACACGACGCGCATCGATTATTACTCGAACATTAGTATGACCACACCTTCGAGGTCGTCTAATTGTGCACAAGATTTCTTTGTTCAGTCTTGTAATGCTGAGCACTCCACATCCTATTGAATCCCTTTTATCGTCTGAGCTCTTTCTATTCATATAATTGGAACTAATAACAAAGGCTCTCAACTGATGTCCATATTAGGCTTTCCAACCACAGAGGGTCAAAGAAAGTACTTTTAAAGTCATGTTCTATTGTATTGCACTGAAATGTTCACAAATGGGAAATGTAAACAGGAATTTTAAAATATTTCACCTCGTTTACAAGGCCTTTTGTGTTTGAATCTGCGTTACTCTGCATTTTTTGTTTGCTCGTAATCGCAGACAAGTATAAGTTTAGTCGAATAGGTGAACAATGAAGAACCCTAGGAATAAGAACAAAGAGGTATTAATAGGCAAAGCGGGGTCTCTCATAGTCAAATATCCATTTTTATCAAATGGCAGGCTTTATAATAGTGATCATTAACCCTTTAATTGACTTCGGGCAACACAGATGGAAGGAACAGGCAAAGTCACAAAAAGTTGAGAGGAGGAGAAGGGGGAGCAGAAGAGTGATTAGTAGACGCAAAAGAAGCAGACACAAAGGTTGTGAAAAGGTAAGGTGAGTACTGTGAAAGTGGTCGAATATAACATACTGAGGGGTCATGGTAATTTGAAGTCAGTAGTCAACTGCTGATTTCTAGACTTTTTTGCCGCATGAGTGTACGCTGCCCAGGGTGCACCACGTGGAGGCAAGTCTATCGCGCACTCCTCTTTGGTCATTATAAGTCTCTAAATTCTTCCCTGTTGGGGAACCACGCAACTCCGTGAAAGATCGTATTCGTGCATAGACCAGCATGAGCGGGCAATGGGCCAACGAAGTGTTTGAACGTACAGTTTCAAACGGTGGTAGCCTTTATGACAAGATGATTGTCCCATCTCAACCTGTATTCATTTTTTAGCTTCTTGGAGCAGCTTGCAACCTTTCATGCTCTTATAAGTCTACATACCATCTCCTTCCATCTCACTTTGCTTCTAAGGTGCTCTATACCAAATAATTATTTAAATCACTCTTCTTACAGCGTCAATTCCAGGAAAATGGTATGCATTTTCATTTACTTTCTAAAAATAACTCATATACCTGCAGCATTTCCGAAGAACGCGCATGTTGACTCTTGCTTCTGGTCTGTTCTAACTGTCGGATTATAATTTTTCATTAATTACCCACCACGTTAGCTTAGGGCACAAACCAGTGAACTTAGCTATACATGATTTGATAAGGCCTGTTTATTGCAATCCCAGTTCCTCCAACATAGCTCAAACGCTTTTTCCTGTCCATTCAATCCCAATTCTTCATTGAATTTCCATCTTTGTCTTCCATTCCTCAATGTTTATTTAGTATATCCTAAGCCATTTGATCGGAGGAAGATTGTTATTACCTCCTATTCCTCAGAGAATATCTCCAAGCTTTTTAAGTCACTCCTTTCTCTTATAACTTCTTCTCCAGTTTGTTTTGAAGTTCTTCGGTGTATTCGAAGGATCAATCAATATGCTTCTTCTGTCCATTGCTAATTCCATAGGTGGTTTACCGCCAATTCTTCTGAACTGCCGTTTTAGAAGTTCATGGGAACAGTTTGTGAGTTGTCGGCCATTTCTTCACCCACTTTTCGTAAGACCTGTCCACTTCTAATTTCATGGTTCGGGTGAACATTTATTCGGTAAAACTATTATATATTGTGGTTTAACTAATTACTACTGGTTTTCTATTTTTCATTGTCATTGTCACTGCACTCGTCATTGTTATTATAATAATTCCTTATATGAATTAACATGAATTACATTATAGTGTAAATGTTTCGATTTGAACCGTTGTAAATATTTGCTATAATCCTATGATATCAGCGTCGAAGAGTTATAAAAATGCAATCAAATAGTGATGAATTTCAGCAAACATCGAAATAGAATGAACTTTTCGATAAACTATTGATAAAAATACAACATGAAAATCTTCTAGATAAATAAAAATGCCAATTGAAACTTAGGATGTTTCATTACTCAAATAATTCACAAATTCCCTGTTTCCAAAACTAATGCCTTTCACACTGGCCCATAACCAGATCAAAGTTGTGCTAACATTTTTGAAATTTTTTTGCTATTTTCCGATGAGATCTCACTGATATCCAACATGATGTGCACCCTGGGCAACGTTTTCTCATACGGCAAAAATGTCTATTAACCGGCAGTTGACTTCTGAATTCAAACCACCATCACCCCACTGTATGTCATATTTGACTACTACCACAGTACTCACCTCGCCTTTTTCTACCTTTGTGTCTGTCTCTTTTACTGATGTGAAAGTCAAACTATTGTTACGAGGTTAGAGCATGTGGATTAACAAAAGATGAATTTTTAGGGTACTTATGAATAAACTTCTTGAGATTAAAGAAGAATTGAGGGAGACTGGAGCAGGAAAGAAACCGTTTTAGTAGACAAATGGCAAGCGTGTATTTGCGTGCTCGTATGTGTGGGTATCATTTCCTATAACATGAATTTTCGTAATTACATAGAGACGGAGTGACTTAAACAGATGGAACAGTTCCAGGTAAGGCTATTCGAAGAAGCTGAAAAATAGCAACGCCCACTCAAGGATCGATTAAATGGCTTATCCAACAAATAAAATGAACCACAGAAGGATACAAGAGAGTTTTCAAGGACAAATTTGAGGTCATCTAGAGATTGAGCACTTTAGTTACCATAGTGAGCTTTGTTCCGGTTTTGGGATTGCAGCAGAGTCAAACACTTCAAGTGTCACTGGGATGTTTAGATAATTGAGTCCCAGAGATTGGCATTGGCCGAGACAAAAATTACTAATGCACTTATTGATCCATACTTATTGTTCAAATGTGTC